ACCCTTACGAACTCCTTCGAATAATTCTAAAGTTGTACAAAATCCTAAAATGCCATAAAGAATGCAATACAGAATATTGTATATAGAAACACAAACACATAATTTGGTAAAAAGTGGCTATTTTTTTTATCAATTAATACAAATATACAAAAGCACGTGAGCTATATTATATCAGCCACATTTACAAGTATTGAATAATTACTTTTTGTTTCTAGGTTTGTTCAGTAGAAATCGTCTTAAAAATTGTCGAAATTCTTTAATGTGCCCTAAAAATGTACGAAATAAAATGTAGTTATTTTAATGTACGATTACCTGCCCATTGCCTTTTTCCACTTAAAAATCAAAAGTAGATATAATATGGTGTACGGGAATTAGGGTAAAGTGTTGAAAATACTGTAAACAGGATCATCAAAAGATAATAAACATATTGGTACCAAAATCAATTTTAGTTAACATTTTCGTACGTAAAAATAATCCGTGAAAAAAAAAAAAAAATTAAAAAATCCATCCTGTATACTATACAGTCCGTGGTATACTATTGTAAATTAAAATATGCCCGTTATAAAACTGTATTATATTATGATAGTTACCCCAGTACAATATAAACGAAGTACAGTATAATATTATACGCACACATAATATCATATACCTGTAACTTGTGGCAGTCACCAACGCTCGAACGAGCGTCGCCAAATGGATAGATACACGCACCGACATATTAGGCGAGGTTATTATATTTGCACGGCGTTCAAATAAACGGTTTTTTTTTTTTTTTTTTTTAGAATCGAGTTTTAAAAGGCATGTTATATTCGAGGCAGAAGCGCTTACATACGAGTTTCATGTGAACGTTCATACTGCGTTCATATTTATTTTAGAAGAGCAAAATAAAAATGTTGGCCATACATCGCCATTTTTTCTTCCAGACTGTACATTTATCTAAAAAAAAAAAAAAGTAAACAAATTGAACCTAGACCATTTTTTTTCACTTTTTTTAGTGTTTTTCACACAATTTTTTCCATCGCCAAAATAAGAAATTGTAGGTAGGTAGAAATTAGGTAAGTATCTAATAATTTTGTATACTTATAAATTCCATAAAATAAAAAAACTATTTACCAGAGTATTTATTTTTGTGTTTTTAAGTTTCCATAAATGTTTCAAAAAAAGTACCGCCGGGCAGAAATTCTGCAAAAAAAACGTTAGTCAAATGCTAATTTCCCTAATCAAAAGAACATTAAAAAGATAACACAAAAAGCAAGTTTTTGGGAAAAATAATGGGAATTTTAAAAAAATGTCCAAATAAAGTACAATCGCCCAAAGAAAATCCACATATTTTTAGGTATAGCATGGATGAATTGAAAAATGTTTACGAACTGAAAAAAAAACACGTTTTGGTAAAACTTTTAACTTCTCAGTTAAACTCAGACTTTAATTATTTTTTCATTATTTTCATTATTTGATATGTAGTTACGCATATAATGTGTCTTGGTACATTTTTGTGTACCGCTGACTAAATGACAAGCTGTTTGCAACATATTTTTCGTACTTAAATAATTATAACAAGACTGGTCTAAACAAACGATTAATATTTTCAGTGGCCTTGAAAGCTCCTATAAGTTTATAGCGTCTTTAATAATAATATTTTCGAGCCAAAAATGGGCATAGTGTTTTATAATCAATACATTGTAGGTACATTAATATAGTATAAATATTATATCTCTAGAGAATTTATTTAGTACTCAGAAGGTACTAATACTAAACAGTTTATAAGACAAATTAAGTTTATCTTTTCGATAATTTAAAGTAGTGATGAGTATCGGTATAACCCGATATTGGAATATCGGATATCGGGTTTGATTCAGAACCGATATTTTCTGAGAAAAATGTCTATAATATAGGGATATTAGAGATGATAATGTAAAAAAGAACTGGTCTAAAAAACCGATATGTGTCGCTTAATTTCAATATCAATTCATAGTTTTCGATTTTGAATATCTAATTTGGTATAGGTTTTATACCGGTAGCAAATATATCGGAAAAGTCATATCAGCTCATTACTAATATAAAGTTTCATCAATGATTATTTTAGATTCTGAATGTAGCGGAGAATAGTTTTACTAAGGGCTAAACTATATATTATAATTAGAGCAATGATTTGTATACACTAAAATGTATCAAAATATGTCATATAATATTATATTCTGACTCATCAATCAAATTAAGAATTCAATTAAAAAGGTTTTTTGTCGTTTTTCTATTGGAATATTATTTATGGTAGAAGTTACACAAATTTTAATTAATAAAATCGTTGCGCAGAAATTTGAAAAAATTGTATTTTTCGTGTTTTTGGTTTTTCAAAATTATTATCAAAAATATTTTATTTATCAAAAAAACGACTTTTTAATGGCAATATTATGCCAAAAGAAACAAAATCGATCTCTTGTATATTTCGATTGGAGCAATGTAAAATTGGGTTTCTATTTGAACAACAACTTTATATGGAGTAGGGGTGAACTATTAAAATGGTTTTAAAATAAAGCTCAATTGATTCCACAATGATTAAAAAACAAAAATCAAATTCACTTAAACATTTTCCGAGATAATTGTTGGTCCATGATAAAATGTCACTCTGTGTATTAAAAATATGTGCTAAATCTTTTTCTACTCTGCTGAGGCAATCTATTTTCTAATTTTATTGTAATTCGAACTACTTACTTATTTTAGGCATATTTACGATTTACGGATTAAACGAAAACCGGCGTTACAGAGTGGATACATACCGTTACGAGTGGTATATCGATAACTGATTGATAAAGCAAGAGTGATTAAGATTATAAACACAAAAGTTTACGTCGTAATCAATTAGTTATCTTATATTTATTTAAATTATTATTTAGTGCTGAACAAATTAATTTTTAATGTTTCTACTGGACAAAATAATAATTTAATACCTGTATTTTTTAATTTTCGTTTTAATATGTCATCAATTTTGAATATTAAAAAACATGCAATATTTAATATGCAGAATTATGCAAAAAATTGATTTATAAAAATGTACTCCCTTCGTATAGACAACAATATGTTCTTGTTGATCGTTGTTGTGGTATTTTAGACATATCAAGGTAAGTCACATTGAGACATCAGTTTTTACCGTAATAACTAAAATATTGTAGTTTTTATTTTAATCCAAGTATAATTCAATTTTTGTGAATAGGGTATACAAATGGTGTACTTCAGTCCTTTTGGAGCCATTCTCTCTATAAAACTGTGTATCCTGTTTACTGTAAAAGTTCTTTAATATTTCTCCTAGAATTCCGTCTTCTCCATAAGTTTTGTGGTTTTTCATCTTATTAAGTTGTTGTTATAATATCTCCTCTTTGCGAACAATCTATGTCATCAGTCATCAGGTTCTGTTAGCATAGATGTAAATGTTTCTACTGGTTTTTTACAAACCAGCAATAAACCAAAACACTGCCCATTTTTTTAATACTTTATCATGTTCTGTCACTAAAGAACAATCATAATTTTTTAGACATTTTCATCTTTCTCTAATTGAGTTTATTTCTTGGTAAAGTTGCATAGTTCTATTTATTCTAAAGTTTGCCTAGAATTCCTCCAATATATCTTTTGTGTATCTTCGTTTTACATATCCTGTTTGCTTCTTTTTGAATTTATTTGTATACCATTTATTTTTCTGCATTAGAGGAGTCGTCGTGCCATTATATCCTGGCTTTTTTTTGTTATATGTCGCCTTACACGATTCATTGAAACACGGTTTCTTCGCCTTTTTTTGTTCGCCTATGATCGTTTATGTGACTGTTTTTTTAGTAGGCGACGTTTTTTTCTGATTTATATTTAAATGCTGTTTATTTTTTTATGAATTTTTCTTTTGAAGATTTCAAAAATCTTGGTTTTCTTTTGCTTAGTTTTGTTAAATCTGTCTACTATCGCTCTTCTTTAAATTATCGATTCTGAGCATAGAAATGGATCTAATGGTTAACCAAGTGGTGTTTTATTTGTCTGTAATCAAATTTTCTACCAAAAATCTTGCTTTAATGAAAAAAAAAATGTTTGTTGCAATTTGGAACTAATTGGTGATTAAATAGGTAATTTATTTAAACTACTAACCAGTCATTACAATAATTGGAAAAAATGTAGAAAGTAGGGGAAAGTTTATGACATTGATGGTTCTGTTCAGAGTTGTTGTTCAAATTTTGCTCAGATTTTTAATTATAGAAATTTTTCTGAACGGAAATCTGACTGGGGTGGTACTTTAAGGAAGTCAATATTTGATTTTCCCAGCTGTTTTCATAATAAATGGAAAAAACCAGGAAAAACATGGGGAAACCGCGAAAAAATGTATGAGATATATTTTGTTGACAAAGCAACACTATTAATTGAATTTCGCACAGAATCGTTTTTTGTTAGCAATATGTAGCTATACATTAAATTTCTTCTCCACCTTTCGAAATTATCACTTACAACAGTAACTCACCCATCGTGTGAAATATATCCATATCTTTTTTTTTTCCAGTAAAACGATTCATACATACTTAAATTATATCAATCTAGAAAGTCCTTGAAAAATGTTGAACTTTATCATTCGTTTATGTATAATATAGCATTCCCGAAGCTCGAATCAACAAACTTGTACTTCAAGTGACAAGTTGAGGGCGCGACAGTGAGCAATTATGCGATGACTCGTTCATTTCTGAACCTTACCTCCGAAGTCTGAAATGAATCACACCCGTATTTAAGTATTTAAACACAAAACTATTATAATAACATTATACACGTCGTCCAGAATCTGGACTCCGGGTGATTACTTTCTTGGTTATAATAATGGCTTCTCGTATGTATAATATTATGATCATTCGTTTTATTTGGAATAAATAAATAAAGTTTGTACATAATAATTATGTTATATACAATAATAATTTAACAATAAATACTAATTTAATAATTTATGTAAAATTATCTTATCGTTATCATTTTTAATAACAATAGGACAAAGATGTTATTGGAAGTCTGGACGACTGGTGTGGCTGCTTTTCAACTACAGTTTGATCGTTTCGATGTCCGAGTCGACGGCGTCGTCTGTTTCCTCCCAAACGGGCCTGTCGAGTTTGCCGGCTACGAATACGACGCCGTTGGCCACATTGTAAAGTGCGTACATAAACGGCCGGTCGACGACCACGGATTCCTTGATGACTCTCTGGGCGGTGAACGCGGAACCTGAAACACGTTTTGCGGACGACAGTCGTTTCAGTGCCCGACCGCGGGACGGGGCGTTATACGTACTGGTCAACGAATACGACGTCGCGCCGTCAATGCACACCCGGACGCCGGCCTGCTGGACCACGTCGTCCAAGTACAGGTTGTCCGACGAAAGCTTTGACAGGTCAGCCGCAGAATCTGAGAAAATGTCCTTCACTTGGGCTGTCTGCGCGGCGATGGCGTCAATATGAAAATAAAACACCCTTGGTTAGTGCAGCCCGATTAGGTATCAAATTCTCGATAATGCACTCATTATATCTTGGAAAGTATTTACATTTTTCGGAAATAAATTTAAGAAAAGAGCTGCTCTAAAATGTTATATGTCAACCGTTATCTTTCGTTTTTTTTTGGGGATTGACCCTGCTACCCACTTTTTATACAGCAACCTGTGTTAAAAAATCCACAAACGGATGGAGTTTTAGTTCGATTATATTTTGGTGTTGACATTTTTAATTTCCGTCACTCCGTTGACGAGACATTACACTTTTAGGTTTACCGTTTTGGGGGTAGAGGGAGAGTATAGTGGAGCATTACTCAAACGCCGCGTGCTATACAAATTACTACTTCCCTTTTACCCAAACTTATGTGTAATAATCTCATCAACGGGTTAACGGAAATTAATAACTGCAACGCCAAAATGTATTTAAACTAAAATTTCGTTTATTTATAAAATGTTTAATAATGAATATCAAAAGTGGGTAGTGGTTTCACTCCCGAAAATTAGGGTGACAAAAAAAAAAAAAAAAACGAAAATTGTGTATTTTAAAACTGACTGTTTCATAAATTATCAAAAAGAAAACAAATTCCGAAAAAGGTGTTATTTTCCAAGAAAATGGAAAGTGTCTTATCACGGATTGATTACTCCGTATAATATATTTTATTTATTTATTTATTTAATACTTTTACTGACACGAGTTCCTATTAAAGATTATACATTAAACACTATAGCAACGAAAGCAGTGACGTAATATTATTAATTCATAAACATAGAAACATGGAACAAACACAGCAAATGTTACAACAATATCTATATAAAACTATAACCAAGGGTTTTACAATATCAAAACCAAGACTGTAAACCGATATATTAAACTAAATATAATCGAATTTAAGAACACTATCTTTACGCATTAATAAATTAACCAGAGATCTTAATCAATAAGTTTTTTGCTGGAGGCACAGGGCTAGAAGAATTTTGGATTTTTAATAATAAAGAAATTCGTTTTAGATTGGATGAGGGATGAGTTAACGGAAATGTATTTCATCAGATAATAAATTAGGTTGAGAAGCAGATGAGTTCACCTCTAACGAAGTGGTGTGAGGAATTGCAATACATTATGACATTATGAATCACGTAACCATGTTAATTGTCTATCAATATAGAACTTGAATGCAATAAATCTTAAAAACAATTTCGTATTGATTCAATAGCTTACATCTGTTTTATCATATTGTTAATCAAAGAATATAGAACAATACTCTAGGTAAGATCAAACTAACGAGCACGGAGTAAATGGTCTTGAAAATAATGAAATGTTCGTTTAGTGAACTTTAAAGTGCGGAAAGCCTTAATTTTTTTATTTCTTCTGTATATTATAGAGACTCGAACATATTTCCCTAAAATAATAAAAATAACCCGATCAAATATCAGAAGTAAAATACATTATTAATATTGACTTTTAATGAAGCGTCGTAATAAATATGAAATTGGGTAGATATCAATCGAGTAATATTATTATGTACCTAATAATAAATGTTCGGTACCTACCTATATTGCCCATCATCGGTTAGCCAGCCAAACCTCGTAAGTTGATTTTAACAAATTTTACTGCAGTAGAAGAGAAAAACTTCAGCTAACTTAACAATTTACCGAAAAAGTTAAGATTTTGATCAGCTAGGTTTTGCTAGATAGCCGACGATGATACTGGTAAATGATACTGTCGACACATCCGTAAAATTGAATGTAAGTAGTATACTCGTATTTACTGATTTACATAGATTTGATAACTTCCGCGTTTCAAATAAAATTGAATATCTCAAAGCAACGGTCAGAAAATACCAATTTGTTTGAAAATTAATTTTTTGACTGCAAAATGTAAAGAGAAAAATTCTCTACAATTCAGTGCAGCAATCAAATGAAACCGAAAAAATAAAAACGTTTCTATTACTCCCGAACAATTTTAAAAAATGGAGCTATCTCGTTGTTTCTTGGAAGACTTCAAATATTCTACAATCCTTAATAATTATTCTATTATTTTACATTCTATCTAATTATAATATAATATAGCATTGTTATTCGCGTACTTCTTGCAAAACAGTTTTCATACTGGTGATGTTACTGCTATGGAAACACGGCATCGTCACGAAAGCTGGTTTCATCACCAAGTTCTTGGTAAGTTCTTTGATACCGTCTTTTTGCAGCTTTTCTATTATCTCGTCGAATGAGTAGGACTCTTTGCTTTTCGGCAAAATCACCAGCAGTGCGTAGTCGGTGTTCTGGAAAAGAAACATGTTAAAAGGTTAATAATAATTATGACGACATAACTGAATGACGAAATCGGGTTTTATTTTCGTGAGGAGGTGGGTAGGCTATAAAGTTGTCACTGCTGACGAATGGCTACTGTTGCAAGTGGATAACGGGCAGTGTTCGAACAAAATATGTATTCAAATAAAAGTATTGCACCACTTTGTTCTATTCGAATATTATTTTGAATACTTCCGAGAAAAATATTCGAATACGTATCAAAGTATTTTATTTTTCAAATGCTGTATTCATCAAAACAATACTTTTATTCTGACACCAATAATTGATTTAAATCTGTAAATCTAAAATCACAGATTTGTACGGCCTCATAATAAATTATACACGTAGTATCTATTTACTTCTATTTTTAATACAAATATAATAAATGGCTCATTAATGATTTAATATTGTTTTAAAACGTTGTATTATTTCTTAAATTTCATAAGAACAATTTATATCAAAATAACCACAGTATTCATATTGCTATCAAATTGATTTTCGGTGTGTCCTAGATGAATACAATTTTATCGGCGGGTTGGTGACGCGATAAAAATAAAAATAGATTTCATTAATGGAGTGTTTTATTTAAGTGGTATACAAATAGACAGGACGGGCGACGATAATTATTAATGCGTCGAACACTATAATATTTGAATATAAGTAACTAATGAGTAATCTATAAAAATATACTACACAAATATTTTTGTATCACAATATTCAATCATAATAATTGCCATAATAAACTACTCGGACTCGAATTTAGAGTAGAGGATTTAAATGGGGGAAAAAAAATACAGGATTTTTTTTAAAAATATTATAAAGTATTATTATTAGTAGAAATATAATAACATGCGGTGTACCTATTTTACTAGGTACATCAAATTAAAAGAAAGAGGGATTTAAATCAAAACATTTTTGTAATACAAAGTATACTGTAATAATACAATATAATATTCGATTAGTTATGCTAACCAGTAATCACTAATCAGTTTATTTAGTAAAATATTGGGCGTAAAATATTAAAACGTTAATTCCATGCTGTTGTTACGAAACTGGCATGAATTAATTAGTAGGTACTTAGGGAAAACAATTAAACAGATATTTAAATACTTTTTGGAAATAGTCGAATGTATATTTTTCTAAACTTCTGGGAGGAGGTTATATTTTTCCCGAAATACTCTTCTGCGGTATTTTTTATTAGTAACTATAATATAAGAAAATAATATAATACGTAAAACATTCGTAACTTTTCCAACCGATTTTATTGAATAAACTATGTTTATCTATATTGTCTAACCCGGACACTAACTATTTAAAACGTCCCCTTCCGTCAAATTACAGACAGTCACTCGTTCATCAACAATCCACGAATCTTTTCGCCATTAAAGAAAAACTCACCAAATCCACAAAAAAGCACAAATAAAAAATTCGCTTTTTTTAACATTTTCGTGAGACAACAAATAATATATAAATTACACAGGCACACCTCACCGACATTCACAGACAGGCCAATATACACATTTCAAACAAATTTCATTAAATTTCCGCGCACACTTTCTACTCTCTGTCAAAATCTACTGCCTAACATAAAGTGCCTATAACAACAAACAGAGCAATGGAAATACATCTCGTATACCGATTAAAGCTCCGTTAAAGCGGATTGATACGTGAACGCACTCGAAAAATCAGAAATACAACTCAAATTTGAAATACCTGCAGGTCCCGATAAATCTGTTTATTTTTTTTCAAGCTACGTTCGAATCTGAGTCCCAATCATTTGCAACCGGTTGCACAATGGTCGTGTGTAAAATTAAGTTTAAACGAAAATCAAATGTCCGATAAATAAAATAACGATGTGCGTACCTTGTACGGCAATTGAAACACCGTAGAATCTAGTAACGGTATCTGCCCGATGGCGAAGTTACCGGCCGCGCCGAATGCTCGGACCACATTACCGTTCCACGACAGAGACGTCCTGTGCCACGTGCTGGTCGGCCAACTCATTTCCAACGAAAAACCGTTGAATATCAACATGGCGTGTTCTTTGAACGCTGAAAAATGAAAACCATTATTGTTATTGTAGTGTATAAAACATATTTTGCAATAGACATAATCATATTGAGAGGCAGCTGTGGCATGTACAATATAAATTAGTGTATGAAGGAATACAAAATTTTTTTTTTTTTATTTTAGATTTCTGAACAGAGTGAGGAATATAATGGTTTTACAGCGGTGTTTATTTTATTTTTTTTTTTCCATAAACAACTTTTCTACCAGAGACTTTGCTCCGATTTTCATGTGTAGCACTTTTTCTTACAGAATATTCGACTGGGGTGGTGTTTTAAAAAAGGTCATTTTTTGATTAATGTGTAGTTTGGTGTTGACCATACAATCTGGATAGATTATGTCGGGTCGGATTCATAATAATCATAATTATTAACACCAAATTTCATAAATCGGTTTGGATTACTATTACTAAAAAAACAGATTTTGGCGTAGCATAATAATTGAAATATATTTTGCCGATTTACAATATTATGTATACAATCAACTAGTGTTTGATTGAGTTATAATTATAGGTTAAGTTAGGTTTCGAGGGGTTTGGCGAAAAATCGGGTTTATCGGGTTTAAAAAAAAATATATATATCAAACTAAATTAAACAAATACGAATATCAAATAGTTATGATATTATGGTATCCTTTTTTTGTTTGCTAGTTTCGTACATACGTGTACTGACATGATACATATATAGAAAATAATATTATTATGATGCTTTCCCTTCCCCGAACATTGTCATGAAGAAAAATAACAATTTAAATTGCACGCAAGAAATCTTAATTGAAATTATTAGCATTTATTTACATTTTATATGTGTATATCATTTAACGACATGGATTAAATACACGATATATTATAAATTTGTATACATTATGCTACCTATATAATAATTACTTCTATTTATTAACAGTATAAGCAATTGCGTCCGGTTAAAAAACACCGAGTGGTTTTATACTATTATTATTCAAATATGCTAATATTTTAAGCACAACGATTTCATTTCGCGAAAAAAAAAACGCTAAAAGAAATACCGTTAGTTTATTGACGTTGATTAACGTGTTTTTCGTGTGCCCAATACTTAGTGGCGATTTGCGCGAAAACCACTGGACGCAGTGTTACCGATATTATATTCGGTAATTTTAGTAGGTAAGTTTTCCTACGTTTTTCCGTTTTTCCTCTGTTTTTTTCGGTTTTCCAAATTTGATAAGAAAACTCTTGAGAAAATCGAAAAATGACCTATCTTAAGTACCTCTAACTTCCCCTATCAAATTTTCTTTTAGAAAAATTGCTATAATTATAAGTTAGAGCAGAATTGTAGGTAGAAAAGTTGTTCACAGATAAAAAAAAAAAAACATCTTTATAAAAATATAAGCTTCTTCGCTCCACTCAGAATTTAAAACTTTTTTTTAATTTCCTGAAAAGTTTTAAAAAATAAAGTTATCTTCTTTTTTTCTGACCGTATACATTTGAAGCCCTACAACCTAACTTTATAAATATTGAAATCTAAAAAGTTGCAGTCTTCTCTGATAGCTATTTGTACTCCAAATTTAAGATGACTGAATCCCATACATCGCACCACTTATATTATACTTAATTTAAAAAAAATGTAAAAAAAAGCGTTACCAGTATCCGAGGCGGAAGTGTCTTCGGCAGTGCCTGGAATTTCCAAGTTCGGTCTGGTGACGCTCTTCACTTCCGTCAAATAATTTTCCCGGGCGAGTTCGGCGAACGACTCAAGAACGCTGTAGTTTTTGTATACATATAGGAAGTTTTTTAAAACCACCTTGTTCTTCCAGTTACCGTCGGACGGGTATCCCTATAAGTCATTATAATACGTATATTGCAATGTTAGGGTTGATTACAAAATCGCTAAATCTACATATATATATACTAGTTGTCCCACGCCCGGCGTTGCTCGTGCCAATTTTCATTATTATTATTTTACCCATATTCATTTTTGGTTTCGGCCGTGTTAGAATTGAATGAAAAAAAATAGGTGGAAAGTGGGTAGTCCACCTGCGGCGGCCTAAATGTGTTCAATATGACATTTTTTTCATGATTTTCGTACGAGAAATAAAGAAACCTCGTTTTTTTTTTTTTAAATGAGGAGGGTTGGTGGATTTTAAAGGAAGTTAAGCCTAATCTAACTTATTAGGGAGTGGAGACGCTCGACAGCGGGAAAGCGCGTGTACCGTATTATAGCTAATTTTCGTTCGCAAACGGCACGGTGTTTGTTTTATACTTTCATGTGAACATTGGCCGACAATTTATATTAATATAAAGTAAATAATTCAGTTGTTAATCTGTATATAAAAATGGATCGATATTTTGTCGGCGATGCCTTAACTTGAATACCATCTAAATTTCAAACTTTTCCGGTAGATTTTCTAAAAATTGGCGTCGGCGAAAATATATAAATTCATTTATACATACCTATATAATATAAATGTGCGTATTTGCCGATATATTCAAGTTTATATTTAAAAAAAATAATAACTAGATTGTATCACTCTCTTGGCGCCCTCTGATGAATTTTTATTTATTCATTTTATATCAGAATGAACATTTCAATTTTGGGACAACTTACACAGAATATCTTACTGATTATTTATTTTTTTTGTTTTTTAATTTCATCCGTATCATCAAGGTAACCCATAAATCAACAAAGAAAAATTGCTGTACTAAATATACTAATTACTCTGTGTCATCTACCCTTGCAACGCCACCTATCGGGCCCAATTGTGATTCTAAACCATCCAGGGACCCATTCAAACACACATAAAAAATTTCGTCAAAATCAGTCCAGCCGTTTAGGAGGAATTCAGTGACATACACACGTACAGTAGAATTATACATATAAAGATATACATATATATACATGTTTATAAAACAAAACGTTTTGTTATACTTTGATGGATGTAAACATTTCCTTGTACGAGTTCTTGTCCGGGAGTTCGCCGCCCAAGACATCAATGAGTTGGCTTTTGGTTCCCGCCTCGGCTCCCTCAGCCGCCAGTGCTAAAATCGCCGAACCTGCGAACGGGGCTGACACGTAATTGAAATTTTCGCCAGAAGTAGCCTGTGAAAATTGAACAAATTGAATACTACACTCTAGTATGATTATGAATAATTATATTATATAAAATACGAGTACAGTGTCTGTCAGTTATAACGCCATAACGGCTCTATGAGGGGGCTTCCAGGGTTCACTGATAAGTATTCGATATTTTAGTACAATTTCGAATAAAACTTAATTGAATGAAAGTTAAAACGGACAAAATTTATGTGAAAAAAGTCGATGAATTTGATTATGTTGCGTTATTGGGGTTCGTGAATCCAATATCCGATACCAGCTGGTCATCGTTGGTAATTTCCATACCTTTAAGAAGAGTCCGGTGAGCGTTTCCGAGGATTTAGATACACTTTGACCGGAAACTGCGACCTGCAAGATGCAAAGGCCGACGAGAGCACGAATGCAAATCATGATGATGATATTGAAAAAATATTATTATTTCTCCGCTACGACGGTAAGTACGCGTACTTGTAGTTGGCGGTGCACTGTAGTGGCAGGTATAACAGTACACGTACAACTGTTGCCGATCGTCGACCGAGCGTGCAGTCGTTTAAACGTGAACTCCAGCAAGATCAATGATCTTTTTACGTCGCTGGTGCTAAAAAAAAAAAAATGAATAATAATAATAATTGAAAAAAAGAAAGAAAGAAACTACTAAAACCGGTCGAACTTCATTATACATTCATGCGGTGACTATATTTCTCCGTTACCTACCTGTATAAAGACAGCCGTGATGTATTAATACCTTCAAGTTAGAGTTGGTTGGCGTCGTTGTCAACGGTGCCCAGTAGGAGTCTTTTATTTATATCACGCTTATAATTATTGTTGTCTATAATATGTATTTAAAAATATATTTGTGCCTGTATGTGTGTGCGTGCGCGCGTGTGTGTGTGTGTGCGTGTGTAAGTATATTTTCATTAGAAAGTTTTATTCGATTAGAAACCACGCGTATCCATTATCACTCGCGAAGGTGCTTTTTACATTTCAATACACATAATATATATGTATACAGGGCGATACTTGCTGAGTGACCGTGGTTCAAATTAACAAACATCTGTATACACAGGTATACTGTCATGTGGTTTTTTTTTTTTTTTATCGTATTTTGATTATTTTTTTGATTAGCCGCTATTTATGAGTGATAGATGAAAGGAAACTGATCGTCTTGGTGAGAAAAGTCCGAAAACAGTTGGATATAAGGACCAGTAAAAGAGATCAATTGCAATGGGTGGAGATTAAGAAATAAAGTAATGAGCTAAAATTAAATTTATATATAGACGCAGCATATTGAAGACGATTAAACGTAAAACTATACAGTGGGCTCAGGGCTGGACATGCTACGCGTAGTCAAAATATTTTGCTGCGCATAGTGCTGGAAAAGAACGTGTCAAGAAAAAGGCCACTTGGAAAACCTCGTATGAGACGAGTGGATGTAGTGAAAAAAAACATAGAAGCTTCACATGGAAGTTCGAATTGGAAGGAACGAGCATCTGCTAAAGACGTTTGAAGAGATGAGCGTTTGACGGGATGATTCTATATAGTTGCTGTTTGCCCGAAGAAAAAGACGATTTCGAATTTTTACGACAAAGAAATATAAACTTTGAGCTCTATAGTTTTTAAAAACGCGTGTATTTTGAAGAAACTTCAAATATATTGAATCTAGATGATACGTATCATCAAAATATAATTAACTTAAGTATAAAACCTAAACCAGCGAGAGGAACTCAAAATGCAAAATATCCGATTTTATATATCTACTGCTTTTACTTTTTGTGCGCAGGGCTGACAACCCTGTCTCGTCAAAAATATATTGTTATGATACCAACGTCAATAAATTAACTCAGGGATCACTAACTAGTGGTACGGGTATGGCGGGGCCCCGAGTTGTCTACTTTCACGGCCTGCGTGCTAATAAATCGTTAAAAATGTTCCCCTTAATGATATTAAGTTTACATTTTTCAAAATTATACCCTTTATTACCCATTATACCCATTTATGAATATAATATTATGTTTAATGTTTAGACCGGGCGCGTAAAGAAGAGTAGTCATGGCATTATGTATACGTATACGAGTACTTACATATTACTATTAACAATGAACATAGTACTGCATGAGTAAACCTCTTTTAATTTCCTGATGTTTAAAATGTTGAAAATAATTATAAAATTAAGATTATTAAACGAATCAATATAATAACCAAAGAAAAAAATAAAAATAAAAATTACTTTGAAACCTTATAGACAATACGCTAGTAGTTACGATAAAAGAATCACTCTGTATGCATGCGACAAATTAATACACTGTTTATTTTAAATCGAATATAACGTTATTTTACGTTTAGTCAAAACTGAAAATAGATTAATCCGAATCATATATTGTACAGGGTAATATTTTATGCATAGTAACTTCATTTTTATGATAACATTATGCATACAAAATTCTGATTTTTGGAATTTTTAAATGTAGTTAAAGACGATATTTTAAATTTTTCCCAACATTAAAGAAGTATCCTGTGGCGAAAATAACTTAAAATTTTCAAATAAGAACCTACATGTTTGAATGCAAATTGCGATTCAGATGATTTTCTGGAGTTTGGACGTATTGTAATTAAAATTTGAACGGAATGTTTCTGAGTTATTTATTCTACTTTACTATACCTACTGAGGATAATAATCTACTAAATACATTTTAAATGGGTCCGAGTTTGGTAATGATAATTAGGTATGCAATATAAAATATTTTTTAATAGTTAGGTATTGTACTTGTCAAGTATACTCAGACAATTTTTTTATTTTACAAAATGTTTATGGATCAAATTAGTACATATTTGCAATGTATATTTAATAAACTATTATCCTTAGTAATTAAAGTAAAATTATTCAAAACCTTTTCGTTCAAATTTCGATTACAATACTTAAATATTTTAAAAAAATTCATCGGATTCAGAATTTGCATGAAAACATCTAGGTTATCGTTTGAAAAACTAAAGTTGTTATCACCACGGGAAATGTGATGAAGTGAAATTAAATGTTGTGAAAAATCTTTGTATTCTAAATAATCGGCTTTCACTACACTTAAATATTCCAAAGATCGTAATTTGAATTTATGCATAATTTAATCAAAAAATGGAGCGAGCATGCTTTAAAATACATCCTGTATAATAACATGAAATTGTATCCGCCTTTTACTTATACAACACCTACATAGAACATTGCAGTGCCAACTTATTTTACCTAACCCAAAACCGATCATATTGACTTACTTTTTAATTTTCTTAAACTAACAAAAGAAAAAATAGTTTCAACCTTCTCACAGTGCCTTGTCAAGGTGGACGCAAAGGTATGCAATAATATTATTGTTAAAAAAAATTGACTTGAAAATAATTTAATAGAAAATAATATTACGAGTATAATGTCAAAAAAAAAAAAAATAAAAAAATATTATCGAAGTAACGTAGTTTTAATTTGATTTTGTCTCAAAAAATAAATTAACGAAGAGTTTTATTAGGTACTACAGTTTGCAAGCATCTTAAACTACATAATATTTAACACGAAACAGGTTAATAACTAACTTCATAAGATGAAATGAACATTTACCATATTTTTTTTTCAAAAAACAAATATTATAACACAAATGCCGAAAACATTCATATAAGATTTTTTATTAACAGTTAACAGGTTATACCGTTATATGGTGGGCACACAAATTTCAAGTACAATAAAATAATAAATCATATGCGTGATAAAACGAATTTTTATCAATCATATTATTTGAAATTACCGCCCGTCGGTTTTTTACCACTGACCAGCATTAACCATCTCTATGTTATTAAATAAAAACAAAAAAAATAGCTATATGCACGACCTACAATAATTTATTTAAATTTAATGAGTGTACAGATAAATCATTGCAATGGAAAAACAATACTTTGTGTAGCTCGGTACACTAGTAAGGTATTGGTCGTGTTTTTTCCCTTGTAGGAAATGATAACGCAGGAATCAATAATAACAAAATTTATTAAGTATCATTATTTTTTGACAGTTTTTCAAATAAAGTATCACCGGGCGAAAACTGCCTTTTCTGTAGGATAGGCGACTGCGTGAAAGAGTTGAAATAACGTACTCACCAAAATAGTGTTTTCAATAAAAAATAAAAATAGATTTTTCGGAAACGTATCAAGTAAAAAATCGGAGCATTTTTTACTAACCGAAAAGTGCTTATCAATAAATAAAAACTACATGCTAGTGTGACTTTAATAGCTTCTTCGTACATTGAGGATTTTAAATAAAATAGGTACATTTCTTTCATATTATAAAGTATATAATATTTTTGTTATTATTTCATAATAAATAAATTGTAATACTTATAGAAAATAATAATATGTATCTATTTGATGAAAAATAGCAAATTTATATCAAACAAACATGTTAACAAATAAATAAAAGTAATATTAAACAAATAAATGAAAACACCTACACTAAATATTATAATCAAAAGTTAATCTCATCACAATAATTATTTTAAATGTGTATTTATTTTTTTTTTTTGGTCGTGCTCGACTAACCAGTACCAATTATATAATATAAAAATAAATAATAATATTATGACAATTTAATACATGGGCATATAATGAAAAAACTGTAACATTATTAATAGCTCTGGTAAATTAAAACAAATTTAAATTTCTTCCCAGGTAAGAAAGGCCTAAGTGAATTTTGTATAGTTTTGAATACAAATAAATTTAACTTTGAAAATTACTAAATGATAATATAATAACATATTAGCTAAATTGCTAAATAGCCTAACCGAAATGATCGTTCTAAATGACTCATAAAAGTCATATAATCATATGATTTCTGCTGGCTTTTTTTTTTAAATTACTTATATAACAGGTAATTTTTACATTTAACCTTTAATTTTTTGTAAACTTAACCTATTTTGTATTGCTTTAACTTTATGAATTACTACAGGCATACAACGTTAAAATAACGAGTTAATTTGAATATTATAATCACGTAAAGGAAATTTAAATTTCTTATATTATGTAGGTAAAAGCCATAAAATATTTTAATAAAATCGTAAATAGATAATATAAATTTATTTTACTCAATAAAATGCACGGAGTTTCGAATTTGAAATAAGCTAAATTTGATATTCCTGGAATAACTTCTTCGCGTTCTATGATGTTAGATCATCCTTGTTTTAAAAAAATTAAATATTCTAGGTTCAGTCATTTTTGCCAATAACCATTTTATATGCAAAAATTTACTTGAATATAGTTGATAAATTAATTAAATATTCAAATTTGCTTTAGCTTAAATAGTTAACAGCGTTACTAATATAACAATACATAACATAACAAATGAACACACAGAGCATTTCATATGACTTATATAATTTAAATTTTTTTAGAAAAACTGTTGGTAATCTAGACATTTTTTTTAAAAATAAAGTACTGTTGAGTGAAAAATCAATATTTTTAAAGTTAGTTAGGTTTTCTACACTGTCTCTAATTTTATACAATTTGAATTTTGTTTTTCATTTTAATGACTACTTTAATTATCCACTAATCTACTGCCTCATACTCATTTAAGGGTAAGCTTACGGCCGTCTTTACGTTATTTATAAACGTAAAATAAATATATGCATGACGAAAATGTTGGTACTCACAGCAATTCATTTTTTAAAAACGAAAATATGTTTTAATTCATAAATAAATTTACTTTGCATCGGCTGAAGCGCTTTATCAAAATAATTTAATAATTTGAAGCATTTTTACAAACCGAAAAAAAAAATATCACCACTTAGTAAACTAATAGCTTCGTCGTTACATCCATAATCTAAACCAAATAAATTGAGTGTACAAGTTAAATGGATAAACATGTACGCATTATTCAGAGATTATTAAAAGTTATAGGCGTGTAATGTATATTGAGTTGCCTATATTTATTATCGCGGTGTCGTTGTGTCCGATTCTTATACATTTTATTATTATTTGTTATTTGTTATTATTATTACTACTATTACTGTTATTTACTATTATTATTGTTAGTATTGTGTTGATCGGGTGTAGCGTTGTTTTTGTGGTTTATCGTTTTGTAGTTGGCGAGAAAATCTTCACCATTCGGTTGGATCTTGAGCGGATCGTCTTCGTCAAGTTCAGCTTCTAAACTGTCGATGTCTTCCTACAGAAAAAAAAAAATCATGTTTTTCAATTTTGTTATTACTAATATTTATTAAGTGCTCGATTCAACCTGAGTTGATCAAACACCAAAGAGTTTTGAGAACAAGATGTCAAGACCAGTATAATATGTGAACCTGTGTTTACTAATGAACTAAAGCGCAGTCCTGTTTATCCGTAGTTTATTCTCAATTATTAATACAAAGAAAATCAAAAAATTAACGACTGAATATATCAATTACATAAAATTGGCTCTGAAAAGCTTTCTTGTCATTTTTCGATTAGAGCATGATGCCAAAATTACTGGTGAATAAATACATTTTTAACAGACAATGAACAAAAGAAATGAAACCACAATGATATATGTGTTTTTGCTACGTTCAGAATTAAAAATATTATTGCGTTTTAGAATATTTTAAAATGTATTGCTAATATAGAAATAGATCTGTTTAATAAAAATGTATAAAGCTAAAAAAGAATTTGCATGAGACATACAAACAAAAAAAACAAAAATACAGAAAAAGTTTAACAGAATCATACACTCTATATTATAAAATATCTTGTATTGCAGCACTGAAATCGATGTATCTAAATACTGATGTTGAAGCATCTTGTAAATAAGGCAGGGGGGTTTATTATCCCTTGATTTTTAAAAAAATTAACTCAAAATTGAAAGTGATTGTACCAAAATATGGAAAATTGTTGGAAATAAAGTTTCAAATCATTAAAAACCACTGGGCCTTATAAGATACTGCATGCGGTGAAAAATTAAATTTAAATTTGAATCTTAAAGAAATGAGTACCCAGTATCTTATATCTGAATACTTAAAATAATGTATATAGTATCTGGTATTTTGACACTAATTTTAAAGTATCTTTTTTATCCCTGGCTATATTAATAATTACATTATCGTCAAAATTGTTGCTCTCTCCTTCGTTACCGCTGTCGTCTTCGTCGTCGACCTCGTCGTCGTCGTCATCGTCTTCATCGTCATCCGACAAATTCATCACATTGTTATGTTTATTTTGTAATAATATATTTTTCACGTCAACCAACTGTTCGATCGCCGACGGGTACGCGTTAATGTTGTTTTCGATCGTCCTTTCGATAACACCCACCAGTCCTTCTTCTTTGGCCACGGCGATCATGTGAGGATTTTTGAAAAAATTATAAAGTATTCCGGCTATACACGGCATAATCTAAAAACATTAAAAGAAAAAAATCTATGTTGATACCGTCGATGGCTGAGCTATTGTGATTTTGGGAGGGATATTGGAAGACAAGATAATTAAAGTAATTTAATTCATATAATTACGCAAAAATAAACTATTTTTAACAAAAAACGATTCTGAACAAAATATTATTTTTTTTTTTTTAGTTTTTCCCCATTTATTAAGAAACCTACAGAGAACTGACAAAAAACTGACATTTTTAGTGCATTAGAAAGATAAAAAGTGCTACAAGAAAGTTTCTATAAAGTTTTTGATTGGAGCAAGATTTCTGGTCGAAAAGTTGTTTACAGACCCACAAAACACACACACACACACTTCATAGTAAAATCAATACGGTCACGGTTGAACCATAGGTATAATAGGAACGAATATGCTAACATCCACGTCCAGCGAAGACATAAAAACGTTGAAGCTCTTGAACAAGTTCCGGGAACGTGAACCGCAATCCCGAACGGCCGACCGGCATTGGCAGAGATTCATGAAAAGCGCTAAACTGTATTCCAGATCGTACATCTCGTATTTGTTCCGATCTCCCGTGAATTCGCTCTTCCGGACCAGCTGGTCGGCCAACCACGTAGACAGGCCGTATTCGACCATTCGTTTTCGTTCTCGTGATCTAAAATAATATTTTTCAGTGTAGTTACTGGTTGCAGAGAAACACGGGTCAGATTCGTAACTCGTGTATTAACGCGTGTAAATGGTTGTCGCCATGCTGATGAAGTAGTGCGATATTAATATACATTATCAATTATTATACTAACCCGGTACTGAGCTTTTGCAACGTTCCCAACAACATGTTGCACGTGATCGCATCCCAGAAATGTTGGGACGATATGAGTTGGATGACGATCAGACGTAACAGAAACGGAGAGCTTGCTAAGTACCTGCGACCTTTGTGGAAAGACGCCAGAGCGTTTAATAATCTCGATATCATTTGTTGTAGTGGGTGCGGCCCGTTGGTCATCGTCAACCATTTCATGAGACCCCGGTCGGCTTTCGATCTGTTCAGGTCCAGTATGTCGTGTTTTCGTATCATGATGACCGTGTCGGTTTTATTATCCGATTTAGTCAACCTCTGAAACCGATTTTTATTTCAAATCAGATTGTGTGACAATTTTTAAAATCTAACTAACTAATTAATTAATAATACAGCTGACATAGGTACTCGATTACGTTATTGAATCAATTCATTGACACTGCGGGCGAGTAAAAATTAAAATCATTTTCATCTTTTGAAAATAACAATAATGTTGAAATGTACTTATTTTAGTCAAAAAGTTTGAAAAAAGGTAATGGTTAAAATGCACTCGTCAAGAAAAGCGTTTCAATAAAAATGTTCGAAGAAATAAAACCTAATTTGAAAGTTTTTAAAACATGTATTTCCCTTTCCACTTATAATTTAATCACTTAAAAAACCGCATGAAAATTGGCTTCGAAACTACGAAAATTTAAAAATGAAATGTAAAATATATTTCCGTACATGCTTAAACAATTAACTACCAGAATGGAATTATGTAAATTCAGTTTCTTATAATTACTATAAATAATAATAGTACAAATTTGACAAGCTCTTTGATACAAATCCTTTAATAGTAATTATATACAAAACGAACTAATTTTTATCTCACGCCAATGATTAAAATCATTTTCAGTTCTAATAAGTCTGTAAGTGAGAAGAAAAACTAGTGTTTTAAAACTTTTTTTTCAAAATGCAATTTTTTCCACTTAGTTTTGGTAAAATGTAAAATTCTACCATAGGTACAGAAAAATGACATTCACCGAATGATGAATTCTTATACTAACCCAACGTAATGCTTGTAGGATAAGCAATTTGTTCTTAGTACTGTTGCCGTCTCTTAGCTCGAGTTTGATTTTGTACACTGCCAAATCGAACTGACTATCTATAATATCTAAATTTTGCTAATGTAATAATAATATATAAACACACAATTATTATCGGAATAATATCATAGGTTCTATACTTTTTAACAGAGCACAAAAGTAACAAAATACGTTGATAAAAAAACATTGTTACACGTATATAAAAATATTATATTGTAGTAACTATTAATAGAAAAAATATCAGGAAGACGTGCCTTACCTCTCGTATTTTTGAAGTTACGTAGAATTTTCTTAACATTTTTCTACTCAATAATATTCAAATTCGTTTTTAAATACATTGAAGTACAAATACCTATTTAATCGTGAAATTAAAAATTTTTTTTTACGAAAAACCGTTTCGTGGGAGTAAGAAGTAAAAACTACTCGGAATATGGTTTAAGTTAGAAACAAATTTTGACTATAAAATAAGAAAACTTGTACAATATAATGTTGGTTTTTTTTCTGAGGTGAAAATTTGATTTCTTAATTAAGTCTATAGTTCGAGTTGTTTTGTCACGAGCAAAACAGTTTTTACAGTTGAATTACAGGTCGTATTAGAGTGAAAAAAAAGAAATTTTTTTTTTTTTTTTAAGCCATTTTTAACCGAAATTCTATACATTTAATACTTACTATTATTTACTTTGTTTTAGTATAGTATAGTATTATTAAAAGTGCATCGAGATTTCAAAAAAATTATCCGTACGTACACGAAAGTATAGTAACATTACTATACTACGTATAGTATACGTACACTATACGTTTCTTTAAAAAAGTTTTATTTTTTTATTTTCTCAATATAAATTATTAAATCCTATAAAAATCGTTACTGTTGTACTCTATTAAATTGCATTATTAAAAAAATAAACCTAACGTCATTATCTTCGCCACTTTCGACAACGGCGTTACAGTTTTTCAAAATAATTTCCAAATTAATCGATTGCCCTCGTATTGAATTTTCCAACGCGTTTAAAAGTTCAGCGGCTAAAACTAATCGCATACACAGTTTTCGGTTAGTATATTGATTTATGTTTGCGTAACAGTACGCACGTGACGCATATAGTTTTAAAATACAAACCGTTGAGTGGTCTGTATTCCTTGTAAAGCATTTTGAAATTTTTTTTCGTCACCTTTCGCTTTTGCGCGTCTTTGCCGGGCACCAAAGTAATTGACGAGCTGATGGCAATGTCCAAAATGAAATCTTCCAAACGTTTGGTCAACGAGTCACACCATCGATTTTCCTTATAAAATAACGAGAGAAACGTTGATGCGAATACCGAATCAAGTTTAGACTTTGCGGTGTAATAATATAATAACAACACGGGTATAAGTACTTTGAACAAATTTTTAAACGAGGGGTGTTGCATGGGGTTGAACACGTATGGCAATGCGAAATACGGTAAGAACTCGGTTTCCGTACTGAACTCGGCACCTCTTTGCACTAGAAACTTACGAAACGCTTCCATCGAACTTTCACATTTTTCGCTGTTTCCGTCGTCGTCGGTGCAAATGTCAGGCTTGTTGACGCGCGTTTTACATTCGATTATGGTGTAATAAACGTGCAGGTAGAACGTGAGCTTTCGGTACTCGTCGATTTGTTTTATCTCGTCCGATAAATCGTCCCACGTCTGAAAACATTGCAAAGACGCTGTAATTGTTATTGTCAAATATGTATAACAACCACCGATATTATTATGCAGCGAATCTCCGGAATTCTCGCAAAGCGCCTCGGTGACCCGAAGCCCCCTCCACCCCCAAAAAAAAAAAAAAAAAAAAAAAAAACGAAATTGTGCGAAGTCTGTAATGTAAGCCGGAATGAGACGTCGAGGCGTTCCGAATCGTTTCGAAAGAGATTCCCTCGTAGACTTGACGTGCCCGCTGCACCTACGACCTAATCGACACGCCGAGTTTGCGATTCGGCCGCACTGATTGACGAGCGATTATTTTCGTTCAATCGGTCCCGAAACCCATCGATAATGGCACGTGATCGATAACATCGCGGTAAAAATGATAGCGTTGGACCCGATGTCGGACGGGTACCGGGATTCGCGGGCCGCGCGTACGTGAAACGCAAAGACGTCGCTTTCCGCGCGTACCGGTGTTTACCCGTCAGTTACCCGTTCCCGTGCGCTTACCTGCATGAACGCCGACCTGGACGCGGACTCGAACGATTGTATGACGGACGCGGCGCGGTCTTTGGATATGCGCAGGGCTGGCCGCGCACTGCTGCGGGTCTCGGTCGCTTTCGACGGCCGCGGCATGTTCAACGTGCGGCATTCTTCGAGGAAACAAGCGGTGGTCTTTGTCATGTTGTTAGACAATAAAAACTGATGGAAATTCGAAAACGAAACCGGCCGATAAATATTAATTGGAATTTACAATGCGATTGGCGTCTTATTGTGCGGTGGCCCGCTCAGAGCCACGCGGTTTACCGGGATCGCAATTAACGCGACGCGACGGTGTACGTACCTCGTAAATGTGTTGTAACGTTTTCGCTTCGCGCGTCGAATACTTTTTCAGCCGATCCATTGTCAGTTGTGCGTACCGCTGCGCCTCTACCTGTATAACGGCGGGTAACGCGGAACACGGTCGAGCCGACACACGCCCCAAAGCGCGCGGCCGACTGTATTTCGTATTACAATAATATTTTATACGCGCTGACCTCAGCGTGTTCGGCGGGTTAAATCAATAGTGTCGCCAACGGCGGCGTTTGTACACACGCACACACACACGCACACACACACACACACACACGCGATTACTGAAAACCGTGTTTGTTTTTTTTCTCTCTCGTTTCATTTTTTCCCGCCGCTTGATAACAACCGCGAGTGAAAGGCCCTGCCTGATACGACGCCGTGACGGCGGAATCAATTTGCCGGACATTAAACCACCGGTAATTGCCTATAATCTGTTTATTACGGCGTATCGGTTATCGCCCGCGGGCAGCGAGAATCGTCATAATTTATAAACCCGGTCTAAACCGTAACGAGCTAAGGAACAATAGGTGGACAGACGACAGGCAATTGACAACGGACGAGACTAGTTGAGGGTGTCATCGTTGGCTCTGTGGTTTCGCATAACTCGTTTTGCTGGTCGTCGGCGGTGCGCGTGTGATATGGGATAAGGGATTTATTGCGTTTTGTAATAACGTGAAAAAAAAAAAAGAAAAAAAGAGGAGAGACCAATTAAATAAACGAAAAACGGGTTGGATAATCAACGGCACCAAAAATTAATGTATGATGAAAACGAAGCTTATTAGTATGACCCGGATTTCAATAAAAAATACATTTTTTTATTTTTTTTTTTTTTTCATGAGTGATTTGAGACAACGTTTTCCGATTACATAATTCGATTCACGTAACGGACATTTCAAAAGTGACATTTTTATTTTGCGCATTTTTAGCGTTTTCCGGTAATTTTGTTAGTGTAATATCGATATAACGTTCACAAGAGGTAGTAATCGATACCGAGCGTTTTAAACGCATGGAAGTTTGGAAGCTCAGGAAATTCCCAAAGTCCAGGAATGACGTTGAACACGCTCATGTAGGCCTCATTGCCTCGAGCAGTGTTTGGAAAGAATACACTATTCGAATGCAATTCTATTTTAGAGGTATGCAATTATTGAATTACTTTTATTTTTAAATTCGTTCATTTCGTGTCGAAATGCGAATTCCGAAAAATACAATAAAATCTGTGCCTTTTTTTAATTTATAGGAAAAATATACCTGTACAATAATAATATGCAGTTTGTTTTTGTTTTAATTACAATATTTTGGCAAACATAATTTTTTTTCGGAACGCATTCCGAGTTTCGACGAATGTGAATGGGAGTATATTTCTGTTTAAAAGAAATTTTCCAAACATTGGCCTCGGACGGCCCCGTCTGATACAAACGGTGTGCAGCCGACGAACTGGTATAAACAGCAAATAAGTTTAAGACAATGTGCTATACAAAGTAATACTATAATATATTATGAAAAATATTTTAATTTTGTCATACATTTTTAATATACAATAATAATAATAATAATAATAATAATAATAAAGTCATTATTATAATAAACGTAATTATTAGGTACAATAATAAAAAATTCACAGCAATATAACAATTGTGTATATATATATATACACATATATATGGGCACATATCTTCACGATTCGTAATGATTTCGAATAAAACTACCCGAAGACGCGATTAACACACACATTTCAATGTGTACAATACATTACGTTGAATATATACGAGCGAACGGAACACCCGAGGAAAAACGTTGCTGTTTTCGTCATCGTGTAGCGAATAGAAATATTATGGCAGGTAAAGCGGGTGAAAATTGTTGGTCCGGGTTTCATACGATCGTGGTTGTTTTCAATATCGTGTTTGTTAAACGCCGCCGTTACACCGTGCAGATTTTCTACCGTCTTCCCATTTTTTAACTCTCCTCAGCGGATAGCAAATGACCGCCGACGTGATCAACAACACTCCGGACAGATAAAACGAAACGTCGTACGTGCCGGTCCAGTCTTTAAACATCCCTGTGTGCAAACCGATGTTCAATCGTGATTAATATTTCTAAAAAATAAAATGCGAACGCCGTATGCGGTCGAACCGACATCACAATGTCGTGTTCGGCGCGCACCGCAAACGGCCTTTTTATTTTTCTGTTGCCGAAATCGTATTTCGTGTTATTTATTTTATTTTTTTTTTCACCCGACACCGAGCGAACGCCGGTATACCGGTGTACGGAACGTGAAATCGATAATTGTAAATCGCCTTCTGAAATCCGGGGTAAACGAGCCGTTTACTCCGGTCGGTAAGAGTTGAGCGGGCCACGCGAGCTCGGACGTTATTGTGATGTAGGCCACGCATTTCGATTGACACATTTCGTTAATAATATTGTGATACACGATATACTTGCCTAATAGAGGAGATCCGAGGGCAGCCGCCACTCCCTGGAACATCAACAATACGCCAAACGCGTTCGTCAGCAATTCGAGTCCGGTCAGTTCGACAATCAGGGTCGACCTTAGAGACGCGAAGCAAGCTGAAAGCGCAATCACGGGATGCGTGAGAAAGAACACATGGATATGTTAGCGGGTGTTTATTGTGAGTGCGGACTGAACGTCCGCCGAGGGTAGGCACGGCGTAAAACTGCAGTGCGTTGCGCTTACCCATAGATAACCCGAACAGCGAAGCGTACAAATAGTACGAAAACACCGAGTAGGGCAGCAGCGGGAGTATGACGGTGTACATGCCGCCGAACGTAAGGGACACGTTGTTCACCATAATCGGGTCCACCGAATCGTAACTGGATATCCAACCGCAGATCACTCTTCCCAAAGTATTGGTTATGCCGATCGTGGACACCAACCATACGGCCATGTTCTTCTCCATGCCCATGCTAACCGCTTTTTCTGTACAATGTTAAAGGAAAATATTAATTTTAAGATAGAATGTGGATACGCGGAGGGGTTTGGCGGATTCAACGATGCGCCTATAACACACGGATCAAAGTCAAATTAATAAAAACAAAACTGAATATTTCAACTCATATGTGTCAAAAAATAGCAATAGATTAATCGAAATAGTCTGCCTGTTACAGCGGTGTTAGAAAGAGCGAGAGGTCCTATGCAAATGTTATCAATTCATTTTTTTCCGATTCCTCAAAACAAGTAAAACAAATATTCTTATCTAACCTAACTGTTGGTGTCTACGTGCTTCTGAAATCAACAGATGAAAAATTAATAGGAATAAAAATTGATTGTTTCGATGAATATGAACTATTGACAAAAAAAAAAAAAAAGAAAAGAGTCGGATAAAATGTCTCCCAACCGTTAAAAAACTAAATTGCTGCGGCGGGGGGAAAGGGGATAGATATTTTTCGAGAAAGTCTTCTGCGGCGGGATTTTCCGTATCTATTTACGCTATAAACTAAAATATAGTATTTATTAGAGTTACCGCTGATGTATATGAACGGAACGAAAAATCCCATGAGCGTGAAAAATCCGCTGCACGACAGGATGAAAAATGACGGGGACGACAGAATCGAAAAGTCCAACATGGTCGTCAGCGTGTGCATGGCTGTTTTATAATATTTTTTAATGTTCTTTTGGAACGCGTTGCTTTTGGCGGCCGTCTCTTCGTCATTTTCGTCCAGTTCGTTCCAGGCGGGAATCCTGGTCACCGACATTGCGTAGTTCAACGAGCTTACCTAAAAATTAAAGTCCACAAGAAATAAATCAGTCCGTTTCGCGTAAGCCCGCGCATGCGGATATGCGGCGGGTTTCACATTGCGGCGGCCGGTGTCGTTTGCGCCGAATTTCGGCGGTTATCTGCGCTGTACACGCGCCCATTGCGCCGGTGCAAAACATTCATTGTTAAAAGGCGTACATCAGTAATCGCGCCGGAGGATATTTGATAAACCGAAATGGCGTAGGTGCGTCGATTGCGCCGTTTCGAGTGTAAATACGGGACGTACTTCGCACGACGCGCGGACAACCGTTGGCAGGTGGGAAGTTGGGTGTGTAGGGTATAGAGGAGAATTGAATTTATATCTGTACACGCAACGATAAACCATTTCCAACGAAAAACGATCCGGAGCGAAATTTAATTTATACACGCGCGTTAATTTACCCGTTAATTATTATTTTTTTTCGAGCATGTTACTGTCGCACTTTGTACGTTTCTCGTTCAGCCGGAGCCGGAAGTCGTCGAACGGGCCGACGGATTTGTAAGCGAGTAAATTTACCGAAATGTGCGCGCGTAACAGTTGTGTGGGCGCATGCGAATCGTCGTGTACTTGTAAACCGATTGGCGCGACATTGACGCGCGGCGGATCAGTTGCGTTCGAGTACATTTTCGTTCGCACGCGATTCTTTTACGGACGCGGCGTCTTAGAAACGTCTCGGCAAAGCGCGTGTACCTGCGACGAGTACTGCGGCAGCCTCGTCAAACTGCCGCCGAAAAACCGGTCGTCCCTGTCCATTAAATGCGCCGACAACGACGGTCTCCTGAGACTGACGGCCGACAATTTTTTTTCCGCCGCGTCCGGAGACAGCCTGTCGTTCAGGTATTGGTTGTGCGTGTTGAGCGAGTGACAGGACATGCTTATGCCGCCGCGGGGTTCGGGCGTCGCGCGGCGGTCCGACAAATGGTTGTAAATCTCCTCGGCCGTGGGCGCTCCGGCTTTGACGCTGTTCCGTTTGTTGCTGTCCAGCGACATTTTCCTCGGGCCCGACGCGCCGTTCGCGGCGTTCGTCAACAACGGTTCGTCTTCCGGCGTTTTGGGTTCCATCACCACCGGATTGGCGGTCGGCACTTCGACGATGGTCGGTTTCAACGGCCGGAACAGTATTCCGACGGCGCCGCAACTCAGCGCGAGCCCTGCAAATAAAACCGTCGTATTTTCAACATAATTATATCATTGCGTTTCACTCGGGACAGTCATTTTCAGTGTTCGAATTCCGTCTGGACGTTTTTTTTTTTATTTTTTTATTTTTTTAATATATGTTCTTTAATTCTGTATAAAACGGTCAAACCTGTATTAATAGCATAATAGTAAATTAATAAATGTACAATGAAACTTTATTTGTAAATTAGCGAGTATTTATCTATT